CTATCATCACTTTCGGTCTCCCAATCGTCTTCCTCCTCCTCCTCCTCCGCCTCCTCTATAACTACATCACCGTCGTTGCTCGGGCCAACTGCAACATAATATCGCGGAAGATCACCGAGGTCAATTGTAATTGACTGAATCGGTATTTCGATTGAAGACACTCCTTGTATTTGAAATGGCTCTTATATAACATTAGTATCTCGAAGTGTTTCCGCATCATTTTCCATTGAAGATTCTAAACGTTGGTCAGCCACATTGTCGACGTCGTTGTCAGTTGGGTCTAGTTATCAAGTTCTGTTAATGTTCACAGATAGTAAACCATGGTCGATTTTAACACTTCCTGGCCTATTTGGGTTAGTGTCAAACCATTGACACTTAAACATGATCACTTGGTATCGATCTTTGTAAAGCAATTGCACGACAGTTGTGAGTTTGCCATAGAAATCAATGTCCGTACTTTCGCCTCCACCTGGGACATGGACACCGCTGTTTTGCGTACACAACTTGTCATCTCGTGCTTCGGCCAAAAATTTGACACCGTTGACATTACAACCCGAGAACAATTCAGCGCGAATCGGGCCAAACGCCAAGTTATATAACTCATCACTGTAAGTTGGGGAATTCGATGATTTCAACTTATTCACCTAATATTATACAAAACCATTCATATGTTAGTCTGACAAAATCTATTAACAAAATTTATATTTCGATAACTTAGGAAACAATTCACGGTGTTTCTGGGCAACCAAATGTGATGGATGTTCTCGCTTCATCATCTCTTCATGCTCATATAAGTATCCCATGATCTCATCACAATTGTTCAGTACGAACCAATGCGCTACCTCCATGTCATTTCTAGAAAACGACTCTCCGCGTCCAGGATCTCCAAAGGGTCGTGCGCTTTGGGCAAAAACAGAAAGTTTTTCATTTCTCATACCTCCATCATGATTGCGCTGAGGACGATTGAAAACCGTCTCCACATCTTTTAAATACATTCCGCAGAAAGTAAGCGACTCATATTGAACCCAAGCCTCTACGATTGATCCTTCGGGCTTCGCCCTGTTGCGTACACTTTTTTTCAGCTCTCCGAGAAGCCTGCCAAAATAAAACGATATGATTGAAATTAGCAAGCATGTGATAATGATGCATACACAAACGATAAGGATTATATACCTTTCTATTGGATACATCCAGCGATAGTTGACAGGACCAGCAAGTAATGCCTCTTCTGGCAAGTGAACCATCACGTGCATCATACTTGTGAAGAAAGCTGGAGGAAATATCATCTCAAACTTGCATAGGACTTGGACAATGTCATGGCGCAACTGAAACATGTCCGTTTTTCGCAAAGTTTTTGCCGTCAGTTGGGAAAAAAATCTGGACAACAAAATGATTGGCTTCACTACATCTTCCGGCAATAGGTGTCGAATACCAACAGGAAGTAGGCGTTGCATAAACACATGGCAGTCATGGCTTTTAAGTCCAGTAAATTTACCCCCGTCAACATTCACACAACGTGCGATATTAGAAGCATACCCATCGGGAAACTTTACTGACGATACAAACTTTAGAAACTCTTTCTTGTCATTCGGTTTCATAGAAAAGAATGCAAGATCCCTTCTAGCTTTATCATTGTCCCTATTCATCCATAAACCCCTTCGTATGCCCATTCTTTCCAAATCAAGACGAGCTTTGATCGTGTCCTTTGTCTTCCCCTCGATATCTAGAATCGTGCCCACCAATGTGTCGAATACATTTTTCTCAACATGCATCACATCTAGATTGTGCCTCAATTTTAGTTTCGACCAATATGGGAGCTCAAAAAACATAGGCTTGTGCGTCCAGTTCATATGTGTAGAAGGTCTGATACGACTAACTGTTTTCCCGAAGGGAGCAAAATCCAACCGGTTAAGCTGGTCCAATATCTCATCACCGGACCATTCTCTGGGTCTAAGGCGACGCTCAGTGTTCCCGTCGAACTCTTTATCTTTTTCCCTCCACTCATGGTCCCATGGCAACCATCTCCGATGACCAAGGTAACAAACTTTTCCAGCATGCCAACCAGAAGTTACATCTTCCTTGCATACAGGACATGCCATTTTGTGCTCCAC